GCATCCTCAGTCTGGCCCAGGAAGGTTCTTGGGCAAGGCTTGCTAGCAGCCTCCCTTGCCTGCCTTGTGCCACAGCAGTGGATAGCAGGCCTGTGCATCCCTGTCTGGTGTTGCCGGCTTCGGTCCCCCGCAGAAGGGGGTACACTGGTGTGAGCTGCTTCCAACTGTGGACCCAAGTGGGCTAGGGTCACAACCTGTGATGGATAAAAAGTTCCTGCGTCCGATTTTGGGCAGGAGTGAGTCAGAGCAAGGAGAGGCAGAGGGCCCACTCCTGCAGAACCATAAAGACGGACGGAAGGCAGGGACAGAGGAGCTTGCTGCCTCCACCAGCACATGGAGCCGCTCCAGCTCCACATTCCTGAGACATTCATCAATGTTTTTGCAGAGGCCCATGGCCCCCACTGGCTCTGCTGACAAGGAATGAAATGCATTTTGGGTCTGGAGCGAGGGAGCCCACTGGCAGCAGGAAGGAGGCGATGGAAGCATCCGCATGTGCCATTGCTGTCCACCCAAAAGCACCAGCAAAGCCGCAGAACCGAAGGGATGAGGAATACCCTGCCGTAGAAAGGACTTTCTGAGTATTTCATACATAGGGCAGGCTGCTGCAGTCACCAGGCCGGTACTCAACATCTTCTCTATATCTAAAAATGTTCACGAGCTGAGCATAAAACTGCTCTCTGTCCCTCTGCAGGAAAAGGGGAACATGCTACCACCAGGACAAGGTCAGAAACCACGAAGGAAGAGGAGGGGAGGATGCCGGATGGCAGAGGAGAACTGAGAGGAGCCAGGCCATGCTGGTGTTGCTCCTGCCCCAGTCATTTCTACAGCCTCCTCTTGCCCTCCCAGAGCCACCCAAAAATCAGGCGCTGCACCGGAGGCATCCCTTAGCATGCCCTTCACGGGCTTTCCAAGACCTCGCAGGAGGATGATTGCTCAAGCCTTCCTACTCCCAAGCTCTTACAAAAACGACAGAGCTTAGAAGGAAAGGTGCTTACAACATCAAGCAAACCCTCGGAGGAAAGGGAGATAGATGGTTCATTTTAATTCCCATATTCTATGGAAACAGTTCAGGCTCCAGCAGTTGAACTTTGCTGACATCAAGGTCTAAAGCACAAATGCTCTCTGCCGCATAAGTATACCTCCTCAAACCCTGGAGAGATTTGTCAGCAAACGTGGAAATTAATCACACGGGGTTTGCAAATCTGCCCACACATCTCCTCCTGCGAGAGGGCACCGACACAGGGTTCAGCTCCTGCAGACCCCTCCCCTCCAGGTACCATGTGGGAAAGGAAAAGCTGGACTAGGTAAGGGACAGGACAGTGTGGGAGCCTGGTGCTGCAAACCAGAAAAATAAAGGAAAAGGACAGCAAAATTCAAGCTCTGGAAAGAAAAAAAAAAACAACAAACAAACCAAGTCTCGATGAATACACACCAAATTTCTGCACTGGCTTGCCGCCAGAGCAAGCAAACCCATTCGCAATCAGCTGTTAGTATGCAAAGGCAGATAAGGCACCGGAGCAGTGAGCTGGCCAGCTGGCAGCTAGATTAAGGCACTTCTGCATTTTATGGCAAGCTGCCT